AAGGCTATCGTGAGGAAACCTGCATGTTTGAAAAATAAAAAACCTTTTATTGTAACAATCCACTGCTAGGGTTATCATAGACTGATAGCGTTGAATTTAATTGCACTTAGATATATCTCTCTTGCTGGTTAAATTAAACGATACTAGCTTTATTTGAAAGACGAATCAGTATTTACAAAAAAAACAGTCACCGGTCTGTTTTAAGCGCGGCAAAAATATTTCACCATTATAAATATAACTTTTCGTTTAGAAAACGCATTAGGTTGTCTTCATAAAAATTCTTAAATTAGGATAGTTTATTGTATTGAAAGACAAATAATCGTATAAATACGAAATCCTACCCTGGCGTATAAATTTAACTTCGTACGTCCTTACTCCATAAACATTTCATATGGCGGAAAATTCGTTTAAAAATATATATATTTAAATTACCAGACGACATTTTCAAAATGTAAAAGAACTAAATGTAGTCTTATCATTTCAAAATAATATAAATTAAAGTTTGTTAAACAGTTTATTATCAAAATTCTACTGAACCCAATTGAATGCAATTTTTAAGTTTTTGTCCAACTTCATTTTTTCTTGAGAATATTCGTAAACACATTGTTTATGGTGTTGATTACATAAATTTTACGTTAATTATTGTAACAGTCAGGCGCAGTCAAGCAATACATGAAAAATATTTGTTTATGTTAACTGTTATTAAGGGTATACTTTATTTATTTGTCTAGTCAATCAAAGTACATACAACCATATTGTCGCTTCTAATGAATACAGAATAGAGGAAATATTTGGCGCAAAATTATGAAAACAATCTCTAAAGATAATAATAAATATGTCTAAATTAAACAGGCAGTGGACGAATTATATTTCTATTAATGTGCTTTCCATGTTGAGAATCGTCACTCAACTGATTTCATTCTATACGTTGCTCGACATTACCTTTACTAATAAGATAATTATACAAGTAAAATTATATAAGTTAAATCTGTGACCAATATTCAGAACATTCTGCAGAATATATTTGAAAATACGCCTTAACCTAATATGTGTGTTTCCCTTGTTTATGTTCTTAATTACATTAAAAATAACTTATAAAAAAGTACACTTAGTTTTACTTTAGCCTTGAATTATATTATGTATAATTTGAATATCTATAATATGTTATGAGAACAAGTGGTTTAAGAGCTGGTTACCCTTTAGATACGTCAAAGGTAGCCAAGGAAATTAAGCAAGTAGTCAAAGTGGAAAGTTTTTACAAGTAATATTCTTCAATTAATCTTTTTCATTTAGCCACAGAATAGAAAATGTGAAGAGATTGATTAATTGACCTGTTGGTTTAATATACTACACACAAATGTACAGAACAACCCGGTTAAAAAGTAATAGACGTTAACTTTTTAGTCATTCCGAATATTGATTAAAATCTTAACAGATATACCTATTTCTCAATTTGTTTTAATATCGTTCTTAAAGTACAAAAATTAAAAGTTTTAATAGATCGAATGTGCTATTCACGTAGTCATGTTAAGAAAAGGTATGAAACATAATAATTTTTCTTCTTTACGATACAATATAGTCTTACATAATTTACACTAGAATATAACAGGTAAAAAGAAAAAAATGCTAAAACAACATATGATTTAACAGACAAGTAAACTAATTACTCCATTTAGCTCCTATGTACTATGTATCCTTAACCCCATGCATTTAAATTTAAATACAATGAAAATAGCTTGTTTTTTATACCTAATAAGTTCCTACATTTCTCTGAATCGCAGCCATAATATTATCATAATAACGGTATCATAAATCTTAAACGCTATAACATAAATGTATAAGCTAGTTCAAGTCACGATATGAAAATATTTGCTTATAATTGTAACACTATATATTTAGAAGGGTTCTTATTATTTTAAGCATACTAACTTAAAATATGTACGAAAATGATTACTTTACTGCGTGTGCTGAAGAAATTATGGTAGGATCTAATTTAATTAAAATAAAGAAAATAGGTAGATCATCGATATATATGCACTACGTACTAGATTGCATTCCGAACATACACCATGTTCACCTGAACTGTACTGCAATCCGTACAGTGTGTCATTTAGTGTGGTTTCAATCTATTAGTTTAGTCTGTGGTTTCAATATTCATGCAGTGTGGAGCGGCGCTAATAATACACGATTTCAAATTAAAGTTTAACCTGGACGTAAATAACAATTCAGTAGTCAAGTAAGTAAAATTATTTGTTGTTCAAGTGAATAAATAGGTAATAATATAGTAATATTACAAAAGAAAAAAAAATTATGAAAAAATATATTTCTTTAAATAAACTGACCGCGCAGAAGCAACGCGCCTAAATCGTGAGCGCGACTGTACTATCTCCCGCTTTTTTGTAAACTGGCTTTACGGCTCTGGGTTCTAGTCCTTCTGAGCCTAAAAAAACCTATCTCCCGCGCATGCGCGAAGACATAGAGTAGTGCACAATTTTTGTTTAGAAAGGCTTCTCTAGTACGTAGTACATATAACTCAATGAGGTAGATGGATAGAGTAGACATTCTAAGAAATGAGAGGAATCCTGTGCCCAGCAGTGGGTCATATATATGATTAGACTGTATTTTTATGATAGAAACAATAGTTAATATTCATATTGTAAAAACTTAAAGCTAATCAAAATTGTATTCAATGTATTAATTTAGATATTTTTGTCCATTGATGTCTTTAATCGTTTTTAGACTTACTAACACAAAGCAACTGTAAGATGAAAAAAGGAATTTATATAAAAAGCTATTAAACTAGACTTGCAAAGAATATTCGGCTATTATTCGGTATTCGGCTTATTTGGCTACTTTTATCCTATTTGGTCGAATACCGAATATCTTGGTACTATTCGGCCTAATACCGAATTCTAAAGTAAGGTTATACTGTAGTCAGATAGGTAAAATTAAAATATTTATTTAAAATGGAAGATAATGGTTCAGAAAGACTCATTTTTCTTCATTTTCAGGCAGTACTTTACTCATTTTCTTCTCGTAGACAATCCCAGCTTCAGAGAATAGACGCTCTGAAGAATAAACACTACTTCCGTCCCGGCCGAATACTTTTGCATAATATTCGGCTATTCGGCAAGGAAGTCCGCAGCACATTCGGTATTCGGTGTGTGGACGAATATACTATTCGTTGCAAGTCTATATTAAACCCACAGATATCATTGATATACAAGCAAATAAATAATCTATTTATTAAACTTAGTCTACACTGCACTTTTATAATTACTACATATTTATCAACTCTTAATTTGATCTTTTATTGGCGATAACAGACTTATTAAAATATTATTTCTACCGAATATGTGATTCCATTACTTAATAATATGTTAAGTCATTTGCACTTTCATAAAGCATATATTATAATTTGATCCTAATTCTGTTTAGTTTGGTACTTAGATATTTTAGGCATTTACTTTACTGGGAAGCTCAATGCTATGAAAATATTTGTACATTTATAACTCAGACCAATTAAGAAAGAAAGACGTGTCAATGCGCACATTTCAAGTGACGTTAAAACCATGCTCAGTTTAATGTAAAATACGCACACACGCACATATGTAAATTATTTGCAATCAACTACATGGTTTCAGGTGCATAGTGTCCAGCTATGTACTTAGACAGGGTATAAAATAAAGAAAGAAGAAAGGTGAGTGTGTGTCAAGAAGTTGATCATGGTTTCAGCGTCAGTTGAAAGGTACATATGTATAACATTCTATAGGTGCATAAAGTTGGCAAAAATATTGAATATCTATCAATTTATCATCCATCACCATCATATATCACCATTATTGAATGATAATTTTAAAAGCATTGTATAGTGTTGCTTGAAACAAATCATTGAGATACATAACGGTATTATATTATTGTTAGTGTTAATGTTTTATACTATATATTTAACTACTATTCCATGTTAATTTTATTGCATTTCTTTGGTAAACTAGGTTGCTCAGAAGACGTTGTTTAACGCTTTCCCGTGGCTGACTCAAGCAGTTTCACTCGAAATTCACTCCGTATTGTGTGAATATGATCTCAATCGGTCAAGTCGTTTACAAGTTACAGGATCACTAACAGGCGCACCAAAAATTACTTTAATAAATAAAAAAATAAATTGAATAAAAGTTATATAATTATGGAAACTGAGTGTGTGCATTGATATACAATACTTTTTGGAACGAATTAAAACTGGAAAATATACAAAAACCATGAATTTCTTAAAATGGTATCTCTCTTTTTAAAAACTACAAAGCTAGTTCAGCTTTATATTTGAATTTAATTTATTTTAATTTCATTTAATTTCACTGATACTTCAATTTCAAAATAAAACTTATGTGTGCATTTTTTATATTGTCTACTGCAATAAGAGAAATTAGGTATTTAAAGAAAATTAAAACGTGGTAGAGCCATGCTTCAGCTATATTAATTGTATAGCTGTAGCACGAATGGGTCGGCACGACCGGGGAGAGACCACGCTCTCACAGAATACCAGCGTAAAATAGCAACTTAACGCTGCTGTGTTTCGTATGGTGAGTGTTGGGAACAGGAGACAGTATTTACTGGAAACGATGCATTCCACCGTAGTCCTCACGGGTGATCACGCATCTGGATTTGATTATTAATCGAGGCTAGATGTAGATGTCTATGGGCCACAGTAACCACTTACCATCAGGTGAACTATGTGCTCGCTTGTCACCTTTGTCTTATAAAGAAAAGCCATTCATTTGAAATCCTTTCAAGGTTAACTATTTATTAACCCGATTTTGCTATTTGAATGTCTCAAAAATAAAGTGAGTGAAGTGAGGCCAATATCTAATTATAGTCGGTTCATTTTAACTTGCCGCGTAAGTGATTGGTAGCACAGTTTTCTCAGTCGCCATCTTTATTTAAATTTGATCGGTTGCTATCTGTGTGCTCTTTTGCTTTTTAATAATTTAATCTTAGTATTAAAAATGCCAAAGGTGGCAAAAAGTGCTAAAAGACAAAGTATTCTTCAAGTTTACGCATTTTGTGAAAGAGAACAGACTGAAAACAAACTGATTGTTCCATTGCAACAAGTTCGTGCCCGAGCCGCTATGACTGGTATGTATAGAGGGTGACCAGTTACAAATATTTAGACGAACCCTTGTAACGCGTGTAGGCGGGTCATATTATAAGTTTGTTTATTTCACTAGATGATACTAATATATTTGTATGTAAGTAATTATATTATGTATATCTTAGTAACGTCACTTAAGTTTTTTTATAAAGTACCTAGTAAAATAAAATTGCATTTGTTTAATGATAACAGATGTACTTGCATCTACTGTAACCCGAATTTTAAAACAAGAAAGGGAGACCAGTTCAGTTACAAATTTGGGTGGTCCGTCAAAAGTAACAACACCTGGAAAAAAATTACCAAATCGTGATAAGAAGATCAATGATATCGACGCTTGTGCAATTCGACAAAAAATTATGTCATTCGACGATGCACGAAGAGAAATTGGGGTGTAAAAATGTTGGCAGTCAGAATCAGAAGAAGGTGTATTGGTCAGAGATTCTGGTTCGGGTAGGCGAAAGATAATCAATATAATAATCAAAGACGAATCAATAAAATCACATGGTAATAATATTTTGCGACTTCCATCATATCATACGGATTTAAATCATATTGAGTTAATATGGAGTGTAATGAAGAGACGGTTTGCAGAGAAAAATGTGAGCCAGAGATGATCAAGTGCAATCACTTATAAAAGAAGAGTTTGGCTCAACAAGCATTGAGCTTTGGAAATAAAAGAGTGCTCACATATAATGAAAATTGAAGATGAGTACATAGTGAAAGATAAAATAATAGATGAAGGAAGTGATCGCTTTTAATTGTGAGTGTGGTAACAGTGACGAAAGATAAAAAATACAAGAAAACTAATGTCAAAGGTCTAAAAATTTTTTTGATACTTTTTTATGCTTTACAAAGGTTGCAAACTTTTCAGTCCACTATTAATAATTAACTACTGCTTAGAAAAGACAAATATTTATTCGGTTTTTAACTTTATATTCAAATCAAAAACATAAAAACGACACATTAAAAAAGTTTTTATACCGAATTGCTGCACTGCACCGAAAAAATGTATAGTCCAAAACGCAATATAACACGTCTGGACGACCGTCTTCGTTTGACGTCTTCCATACATCTTCAAACAATACGGCCGGTGTCGCAACGCTGACGTAATGATCATATGTTGCTCACGTATTTAGTTTACACAAGCCTTAATTATGTAACTTGAAGCATGATCTACTAACCAATAGGAAATAAATAAAATTACGTTTTAGAAAAATAATCTTGATGCGTTCATAAGTTTCTTAAGATATGGTTATTTAAATGTTGCAATTTTTGTACCACTGATATGTATGGTCAATTTCTTAACGCTTTTGACACAAGGGCCTGGACTTGTGCTGCCCAAGTAGCATAAATTTAATCGCTTTAAATTTGTCGTTACACGATAAACTCGAGTTTAATCTGCTAGTGCCTATGAAACTGTAATTGCAATTTTACCACATGTGCGGTGGTGAAAGTAACCTTAATTTGAGAATTAACATGAGTTCCGGCGACGTGCAAAGTTCGTTATCCGGCAATGGAGTAATACGGTTAATTCTTCTCTTTTCGTATCAGTCTCTGTTTATGAAGAGACTATTTTATGTGATTATGCGAAAGGAGTCAAGTTTAAGTCCCAATCCGTGTTTAGTTTTTAATAAAATTTGGTAGGATCATATTTTATTTACAGATGATATGCATTATGCACCAGCTTGTACACATTTGATTATATTGACTTAATTAAAATTTATTATTTGTGCTTTTACTAGTGTTCAAGTTTCATTATGTATACTAGTCTGTTATTGTAAATTATATAGTTTTAATATAAGAACATTTTAAAAAAGGAAGACAAGAAAAAAAAAACGCATGATTTTATAAATTAATTAAACAATGCTAAAGTTCTCTATACATTATAATATTTGGATTGGGTGATTGTCACTAAATATGACATTTAATTGTATGTTTTTAAAGTACTTAACAATACTATAACTAAGTATATACTATAGCAAAGCTAGGGCTGGTTACACTATTTATTTTTCATTTAGTTTTACAGAACTACTGTAAGTATTTTTCAGCATAAAATAATTAACAGGAATATGAAACTAATAAAAATAAGCAACACTATTCAATGCTGTCAAAGTAAATAATTATAACAGAAAATATTCAAGTTCGCCATTGCCTATCGATAGTAACTGCCGAAGTTTAAGAATGACCCAACCAGGTTATTCATTCGTAGGTGATATAATCACAGAGATATATTTCTGCCATGGTAATAAAAAGCTGCTTCCACTACTATATAAAACTTTAACGATTTAGAATGTAGTCTTTTATAGTTATGTTTATTAGAATCAAGCTTAAACATAAAATCTGTAGTTACGTATCACCGTAGGATGTTTAAAAAACAGCAGCGGCAAAATAAAATGAAAAAGTATATCTTACTGACAATAACCTACATGATACTCCGATTTTTTAGCACATAAGTTCTTCAACACTTGGGTTTTAGAGTTTGTTAAAATCTATAATAGTGTATATGGTCGATCGCATGGTCTTATTCTTAAAGAATAACAAAATTTTGCATTTCAACTACGTGTGCGTAAAACAAGATGCACGTTGAGTAATATTTAGGTATATCAATATGCTATTAATATTATATAATGTGTTGTACTGTTCAAATAAACAGTACCTCGTCAAATTCAAACAAACATGCATATAGACTAATTTAATATAAAATATTCATGACCTGATTTTTTATGATGTATGTGAGCGTGGTAATAAATTCCCAAAAATATAAATTTGTAAGTATTTTTTGTCATTGTCAAAAGAACCGAATTACTTATTCTAGTTTTGTTTTTAACCATTAAGGCATAATTCATTTAAGCTATTAAGTTAAATACTTTATGTTGACAGAGCTGTAACAATGCGAAACGGGAGGGGGGGTGGGAGGGGTTTGGATTTATTTTCAAATTTACAATAACTTGTAATTACAACTATGGTATTAAAATCTATTTAGCCACGAATTTGTAATTTGCTCGTTATCTTCTATATATTAACAATTTATTTGGTTAGTTACGGATTTATCATGAAACACAAAATAAAGTATTATGCAGACTTGGCAAACAAGAAAACTAATGCAGGACGAGTGCTATGCTAAGTACATAACCTTTATGGTGACAATAACCAAGGCGCCATAAAGATATTCGTTTGATTTAACGCTTCCTCTAATTGTTACTTACACTTAATACAAAAAATATATAATACACATACTAAGGCAGTGGTATAGCATGTTATCTATGTTTATAGAACATTTTTTTTTGTTATTGAAAAAACATAGTTCAACGTAATGTAACAGAGTTCATGAGCGGTACATAGTAGACGCAAAAACGGAAGTGCAACGGAAAGTCGTATTTTGCAGCAATATATGTTTACTATGTAGAGTGTATGTTAGGCTCTTGTGAATTTGGTCAGTAACTGACGTCGGTTGACTGACGCTAGTTCGAACAGGGAATTAAGCGGCGTTACATAAGCGGGGATACGTTAAAGCTGGCGCACTTCCGTGTCAAACTAAGGTTAGTTCAAATGGCGCACTAAATTTCATTAAACAGCGCTCGTTTTATTTCAGATCAGCACTGAGCTCGCTCAGAACATCGAAGAAGATAGATTGAATATAACGTTAATTTAAGTGATGTTAAGCCCAAGGAACCACGCACAATTTATTATAAGAACTTGTACTCATGCACACTGTATGCATATAAAATCATTTGCAACCGATAACATCGTTTTAATTGCATATGCGTGCATAAGTGCCTGTCAAGAAGTTTAATATTGTGTATTATTTATAATATAAGTAAATAAGTTTGCAACCAATAACATGGTTTTAGGTGTATATGTGTGCGTGAGTGTGTATTAAGAGCTTAAGCATGGTTTGAGTATCCCTGGAAATTTACGTATTATTCTGTCTTCTTCTTTGTCGGTATGAGTGAGATCGTAAAATAATTCAATAATAAGAGATCCAAGTTAGCGCTAAGTAACGCCTGTTATTGATACGTAACGAACATTTAGTGATGTCGCTCGTTATTTGAGGACGTAGTTGAGGACGAGGGGGACAAAGCACACTTTTGGAAATGGTTTAATTCCGTCGAGGGTGGTGACGGATCGCGGGAGAGGAGAAGGTGGGGGTGGGGGTGGGGGTGGGGGTGGGGGTGGGGGTGGGGGCGGTGTGGAGCGCGCACTAGGCGAAGTACATGACCTTCTTGGTGACGGCGTGCACGGTGATGGCGCGCGCCATGGCGCCGGGCGTGCGGTCCTCGCTGCAGGCGGACTGGTGGCTGCCCTCGCCCGAGTCGTGCTCCTTCTCCACCAGGTGGTAGCGCGCGCGGAAGGCCACCAGGTGCGCGTAGTAGGCCGGCGCCGGGATGGACACCGAGCGCGTGCAGCGCACATACGTGTGGCACAGCTGGTACGTGAGGCACTGCAGCTCGTCCGACCCGAAGTGGTTGTCGTCCCACAGCACGTGGTAGTGCGACGGCCGCGACGTGCCCTGCGCCACACACAACCCATCAGTGAGCGCGGCTCTCACGTGCTCACGTGCTCACGTGCGCAATACTCTACACTCTATACATCTCTTTGCACAAGTACAAGAGGGCGGTGGTACGGTAAACATCCTTTCACATCACTTTTCCGTTAATTAATTAATCTTCGTCATTCATTGGTTGCAGTATATTGGAAAATGTAACAAGCGAAAATAATATCACTTAGCGCTCACGTCTCGCGCCGCCATTTATACAAAATTGTTCCTCCGCAGTAGATATTAAAGAAATCAGCAAAAGCAATTGTAGGTCCACATATGTACCACGCAGATTTTTTTTATTGTTGTTGTAGTTAAATACCAGCGTAAAATAGCAGCTTATTAACGCTGCTGTGTTTCGTGTAGCAAACCGGAGACCTTTTTACTGACCACAACATCCACTTATCATCAGCTATACTGTGTGCTCGTTTGTCACACTTATTCTTTAAAAAAATATGTGCTACATAAATAGCCTATCAAAGCTTTGACTTGGTTTGTCAATTCGCATAAATCGACCGACACACTATATTGTTCTATTTCGATGTTTGTTACACAATCTTCGTTTGCAATAATTATTTTTAACCTCACGTCGCCTATACGAGAGATACCGTGTAGTGGCGTAGTAAAAATATCCACTGCCAATATCTTCCCGTGAATGTTGTAAGAAGCAACAGAGGGAAAGTAAGACACGGGTTGGGCAACGGCATCTTTCAGATAACAGCAAAATTACAATAAGAAACTGCGGTAGCCAATCCGCTTGCCAAACGTAACGACTATGGCAAATATGAGCCCCCATGAGCAACGATACATATAATCGGCCTCAATTTCCGGCGGCCCCTGGCTACAGTGGCGACCATAGCAACGACGGGGCAGGTAGCATCTGTCCCAAGGAGGTGTCGGATTTAAGCTTGGGGACAAAAGGAGCGGCATGTGCACAACACGTCACTCAACAACTACGTGAAATGTCCCGAAACAAATGTCGCGGAACATTTTGCAGGCCACATAATTGCTTATAGAAATGTCGCCCGAGGAGGTTGTGGCGATTAGTGCTGCGTACATAGTACTTATTTCGGGAATGAAACGTAAACAAAAGAGTAGGTGGTGGATGCGGAATTTCTTTCTACAACGAGAAGAAAGAAGACTTAATATTTTAAGAGATCTCCGAATGTCTGACGGATCTTTTGTGAATTTCACTCGAATGTCAACATTTGATTTTGACAAATGATCGGACCTTCCATAGCCAAACAGGATTCAATACTACGGAACGCTGTTGGCCCGCATATCAGACTTGCCATTGCAGTAACATACTTGTCGACTGGAGATTCTTATACTTTTTGTCGTACACTTTTTGAGTGTCGAAACAACTGATCGGTAGAATAGTACCAGAAGTTTGTGGTTCCAAGTATCCCACACCAAAAATGATTCTGGTAAAGCTCAAGAAATATAAGCACGGTTTTGTTTCCCCACACTACTGATATGTTGCACTTACAAGGCACGCGATTACACCCGGTAACAAATGGCGCGACACTGACGCGGGACACGTGCGCTCGCTCTCTGAGCGGGAACAAGCAACATGTCCCGCGTCACGTAAAATGTTGCGGGCCATATTGCACAGTGTGGGTCACTGTGCAACGTTGCATCGTCACGTAGCTTGAGTGTTCCGCGTCATGATGCGGGACAAAATGTCTCCTAGAGTATCCGGAGCTTTATCGTCCACAGATCTCTCGTTGACAACGTTGTAAAAATTGGCAATGTGTCGAAGAGGATTACGTACCTTATACTTAGAATTACCAAACGGGATTCATTGAAGGTCAATACCGATGAGGAGGTGGAGAAAATGTATTAGGATATCTCCAGAGCCACACACTCCTCCAAAAACCACTATACAATGTTAATGGCAGACTTCAATGCAAAACTAGGAACAAGAAAGAACGGTGAGCTGAAGGTAGGAAAATTCGGGATGGGGCAACAGAACCCAAGGGGCCATCAGTTGGTCGATTTCATGGAGAAAGAGGGACTCTTAATGATTAACTCTTTCGTTCAGAAGCGGCCCCACAGAAAGTGGACCTGGTCGAGCCCGGACCGGAAGACAAATTCGTGGAAACTGGCCAAGCGGTCGGAGCTAAATTCGGGAAGACCCGTCACAGAAGAACACAAAAACTCTCCGATCAAACTCTTAATCTCATGGCTGTTAGACGGGAAATGAAGCTGCAATCTTCAGTAGATTTGACAGCATACAGGCAATTAACTAACGCAACTTCAATATAGCTAGTATTGAAACGGATCCGGGACTTCAAAATCTTTGCCAGAGATATGTCTGCCAGAAAGTCCCAACTGTCGTTAGCTGAAAACCGAATGTGGTGGAATCGTTTTCGGGACACCTGGGATTTTTAGTGAGATTGAGAGGTTCGATGGGCATCTGCACACGTCATCGTTGAAGCCACACACAAGTGTGAGTAACGGCGGTCTTGTCATTAGACACTATTCCGCTGATATCCCGGACGTTAGTCTGAGCGAGATTAGAATGGCTTTCCAGCACCGTAAAAACGGCAAGGCCCCGGGCGAGGATGGAATTACAGCGGAGCTTCTGAAAGCGGGTGGAAAATCAGTACTTGAAGTCCTTCAGCATTGTAATGATAATAATACGAATTAAATTTACAGAATTTCAAATAAAGTTGCGAAGATTTGGGCAAAGGAACACCTTTAACGTGCTATAGATTTAGAGATAGAACGCCGCCGATCGCCGGAAGAACTAAACATGTAAATTACAAATAGAAATCAACGTTGGAAGTTACGAGTATGTTGGGTGCCAATCTGCTAATATAATATTTCTGACATCCTATTTGAGTATAAAAAGAAGCTTCTTTATACATTTTTTTATATTAACTACAATCCCACCTGATGGTAAGTGGTTATGTAGCCTAAGATTGTGAAGTGCACTGACTTAACAAAAGCCTATTCACTCTTGCCTTGAAGACACCAACACTGTAATCGAAAGGAAATACAGATGCTGGCAACTTATTGCAGTTCTTTGCTGTACGCATGATGAACATGTAGCAAACTGTTTGGTTCGAATGCGTGCTAAGTCAACAACGAAAGGGTGGGGACTGGCCGAACGTCTGGTTGTCCAATGGTGTAAGGAAGAGGAAGGAATTAAATAATACAATTCCTGCGCACACTCTCCGAAATGCAACTCGTAGAAAACTAAACGGCTGGCTACTTTGCGCCTGTCTTCAAAGTTGGTAAAATTGGTTTTAACCAAATTCTGGTTACCAATAAGTCTCTTAGCACGCCTTTCTAACTTTCTATTGAGTCCAAAGCTACTAGAAGGCATTTTGCAGCATCAGCCCATATATGCCAGCAATACTCGACCAGGCTTTTATAAAATAATTAAAACGCTTTGTATACAGTAAGCTGCTATCCCGGTGCGAAGTATCACCCGCACCTTTGCAAGGACTCCTAGCTTGCTTGCAGCTGCTTTGGCCTTGAACTCAATGAACCACCCGAAGTTCAAATTTAGGTTATCTCAACCCCCAACAACTGAAGGCGGTCGGTATATTCCAGTGATACATTTCGGAAAGAAGGAGCCAAGGTGAGCTGGCTTCTTTTTGTAGTGAAGAGACACGCTTGTGTTTTGGAGGCGTTAAATTTCACAAAATTGGCATCGCCCCATTCGTAGACTGCCTGTAGTGTGATTCACGCACCCTACTATAGCTTCTCATTTGGACTGGATTTGATACCGACTGGCCCGAGGAACACCAGCGTTAGTCGCCACAGGATCGAATGAGCAGCCATCGACGACGACCCAGAGTGACCGTTCACTCAGAAAGTCCTTTACCCAGTCAATCAGACCAGGGGATAAGCCGTACGCTAGACGCTTAGCCAAACTCTGTCAAAAGCCTTCGACACATCAAGGGAAACAACAAGTGCTTCCCCCCTGTTCTCGAGTGCTTTGCGCCATACGTGTGTGGCATACGTTAGAAGGTCCCAAGCTGACCGATTTCGGCAAAACCCATATTACCGGTCACTAAGGAGGTCGTTCTGTTCTAGGTATGCCTTAAGCGAGCGTTCAATATACGCTCTATAATCTTGCAGAGTATGGAGGTAATTGAGATTGGCAGATAATTGGCAGGGTCTAACTCGTACGTTAGTTAATAAATAGTAGGTATTAACTAACGTACGAGGCTTTGACTATATATAGGTGACGAAAAATCTACATCCATATATGCCTAACATGAATATCACAGACTGGTGAAGTACGCAGCGTTAGGCAAAGTGTGGTGACTGGGTATTTATTTCAATTAATGTTCGCTTAATAGCACTTCCTTAAAAATGTCTATATCCAGCAGAGTAAAATAAGGTTGACGATGATAGGTTGGGAGTATCTAAACATACCTGTATACCCTGGTGGCTGCAAAGATAGAAGTCGAATTCTGTGGGGTGCGTGATGCCGAGGTCCACAGTAGTGCCGGCTGGGATGTTGCCCGACTTGCCCGACTGCTCTTTCTTATCCGCGCAAAACAGGCGCGTATGGTGACGCTTCTGAACCACGATAAACGTTATACCCGGTTTGTACTCTGCTTCCAACTAAAAAAAATATTAAAAATAACAGATTAAATAAGACATTTGGTTTGGAAATAATAAAAATTTGTGATGTCGAAGCTACATTTAGAGGTTACATTTACATTTGGAGGTTACCTGCTAAGATAGTGGACATCGCTCTCTAAACAGCGTTCGTTCAATTTTCGGTTTCGCATATACACCTGCTGCACTCTGCGCAAACTACACTACACTACACTCCTAACAAAGAGGAGTCTTTCATTACCTTGAACTAAACGTTGCTTCCTCCTTTAATTCCAATTTCTACCACCAGATCAACAACGAGTACTGACAAAAAGTACTGACGACTCCGTGGCACAGTAGCTTAGCAATGAGCTGCAGCGATGGGGGCCGCGGGTTCGAATCCCGCACACAACAAGTATTAGTATGGCCTACAAATAATTGTGCCGGGTCTGGCCGTTTGTCCTTATGCAATTTATGTTTGTATGTATGTATGCCTCCACGATATAGGACAAAATCCTAGTGTGGGGGTAACGTTTTATAACAACAACAAAAACTACTATCGCCACAAATTGTCTGTCAGCTTCACTATTTCTTAGTTTTCTGGATGAATTGTAATTGTTGAGGACATTGTTTTACTTAATCTACGAATTAGCTTAGCACCATGACGAGATGAGACTTTTAAATAGGAATTAAATATACAAATGTATGCTACAAATATATATATATATATACGCCGGCGCTGGCGCCTCGACGGGCTCGAATAAGAAGCAGTGAGCGCAGCTGCATATGATACTAAGAAAAACATAAAAGAAGAGCGTCTCATGAACGTTGTGCCATCGCAGGCTTAGCGCAATAATGGATGTTTTATTTATTTACTCGTATTTAGACGTCATACAACATGATTTATTGACGGAGTTACCTGCGGCATTCTGTCAATCTTTGGGTGATGCAGAGAAGACGGTGTCAAATATTAAAAGATAGAAATGTAAATTAAAGTATATGAATATAAATAATAATAATACATATACCCATACATAAACTTGTATTTTTTTTACAGGATAAAGGCGATACAAGCGAGCACATAGTCCATCTGATGGTAAGTGGTTGCCATGGCCCATAAGACATCTACATCTATCCTCGTTTGCGAATCAAAATTCATACATTCATACATTATTTAATACATGCATAGTATTATATATAATATAATATTATATATATATATATATATATATATATATATATATATATATATATATATATATATATATATAATGTAATTATTTGTTTATTATTTTTATTATGTTTTCAACAGTTTAAGACTGTATAACCTGGAGGTTGGATATGAACTAACCTTAATGCAGGCTTCTCGTACCGCGGTGAGCTCGTGCTGCAGCACGTGTATGAATTGTCCTTCGGAGATACCGTCGCGGTACATAATGATGCGGTGCGGCTTGAACCCGCCCGTGCTCTTGTAGAACATGATGAGCAATTCCTGCACCATGCTGCTCATCTCATGCACTATCTCCTGTCTGTCAATGCAGCAGTTGTAAAGGGACATTATCATAAAAATTACTCACGCAACAAGCACAAATGGAAACAGCCACTGTACTTTTTAATTATGAATGATGCCTCATCGTTTTACCGATGTTAGTAATTATGGATTATTGAAACATTTAAAATAACAATTTTTATAAATAATTTAGTATTTTTGTCAGGAATACAATTATATTTTTATAAACGCACAGACTTTTGTTGTTAATGTTAATATGTGGATAACATTTATTACATCATTTTGTAATAACAAATATTACAATTATAATAAAATAATGTGAACTGTGAACATCACATCTTATCACTATTCCTTAGACCCGGAGGCGTTCTTGCTGTCTAGTCACATATCGTCACACTGTGCACCAATACTGTGACTTTATGTCCTAAACGAATGTTGCCCATGGTTTTAAATAACGCCGTAGGCTTCTATGATCGAATCTAAAGTCGGATTGAAGGTGATGGAGATTGTAGCTTTATGGACAAAAAGAAATTAATTAATTTATCGTCGTTCTAAGACTTTCACATGGAAAAGAAATATCGAAATATGTAACTACACGGTACACGATACTTGGGTGTCTTTTCATTAGGGAGAAAAAAAGAGATGTATAAATGAATTAACTAAGGATGTAAGTAATAATAGGTTTTACGATGAGAAAAATCATTTTACGATTCACGTTATCCATTCCACAAGCGTCCGAAAGAATAGAGAGTGTATGTAGTCCAACATCACCTTCTACAAATTGCCTAGACTGAAACGACTTAACAAATTTTATCATAGAATGCATCAGCTACCAGTGGATTCATAATTTTTATTATTTTTTATATAAAACATCTATTACAGTATTTGAACTTTAGTAAATGAAAAAAAAAAAGATGATACCTGCGGTGTTTTAATTCGTTGTTTCTTCTCAGGTCAGAGGAACCTTATTTTGAAACAGTACTACAGTGGTACCTCGACATACGAGTTTAATTCGTTCCGCAACCTTGCTCGTATCTTGAATTACTCGTATCTCGAAGCAAATTTCCCCATACAAAACAATTGAACTACCATTAATCCGTTCCAACCCCCAAAATGTCACCCCAGTTATTTTTGTTACGTGGTTTTTAATAATAAAAACGTATTTATAAATGACAAATATTTATTGTACAAAAACAAAAAAGAGAATGTAAAGAAATAAATTAGATATCCTCACTGGTCTTTGCCTTTTTCGCTACATTTTTCTCGCTTTCGCCTGTAGGCCGTTTAGAAAAAAACATGTCCAAGGAGATTTGTTTCTTCCTCCCTCTCAGAATGTTCCGGAAATGAGTTAGGCAAGTGTCATTAAAAAGATCAGATGCACGACCTGTTGCAACTTTTTCTGGGTGTATCTTTTCCACGAACTGTGAAACTCTCTCCCACATTCCTAAGATCTCCTTTATCTCACTTGTAGAAATAACCTCCTCCTTTGACTCCTCAAAACCAATTTCTTGCATAACCTCCGTATGCTGCAGTGACTGTAACTCTTGTATCTTCTCAGTCGTCAGTTCCTGGGTGTGCTCCTCGACGAGCTCGTTCACGTCTCTCTCTCCCACCTCTAGACCCATGGATTTCCCCAGAGACACAATCTCCTCCTCTACGTTAGTAGAGGTATGTCAATACCGGGTTCTAATTCTTCGTAGATCCTTTCAGCTACAGCTTCAGGCCACAGCTTTTTCCATGCAGAGGTCAAGGTCCTCGTTGTAACACCCAGCCAGGCCTGATCGATAATTTTTAGGCAAATCGCGATATTAAAGTGGTCCTTCCAGAACTCTCGAAGGGTGAGGTTTGTGGTCTCCTTTACTTCAAAGCAGCGCCGAAACAGATGCTTGATGTATAGCTTCTTGACAAGAAAAATAAGAAATAGTACATACGATTTGCAATAACCTGTTTTATTTACGAATATGATTATAACATCGTTATTCACATTGAACGAAAGTAGCCTCCAACCTAAATAAAAGAAAAGAACCGGGTACCCGGTTCTGGCAAAAGTTTGGAACCGAAAGAACCGGTTCCTGGAAAGGGACCGGTTCTCGATGCCCTAACTACAACTGTAAATGTAAATGTAAACGCAACACAAAACGCGAACACAACTACACAACTTATCACAGCGGAAGCACGCTGCTAACCGATTCACTGACCGTGATGGGCGCGGCCGCGCAGCGCACGGCCGCCTGTTACCGACCTGCTAAACCGGAACTCGTATCTCGAATTTCGCTCGTAACTCAAAGCAAAAAATCACTCGCTCGCCGGCTCGTATCTCGAAAAACTCGTATGTTGGGGCACTCGTATCTCGAGTAGAGTAAAAATGATGGTTAACAAAAAAAAAATTGATTTCTAACGTCGAAGAAATAAAGATCATTTAATTTCAGGAGAGTCGAGTAACTTTTGCTGGTTTTACAATATTACCTATGCAAGAAGAGGAAAAACAAATTTTAATTACATGGAACAAATTTCAAATTTATTATATAAAATCGAATTTCGACAAAATTTCTAAGCTTCTAGAGACCTTAATAATTTTAAAACGTTAACTTGGATCTTCGCTTTGTACAAATATATTGGTGTAGCGACTTTGGAGCTCAAGCAAGTGACTACAAAGTTACATGGAGCATGGAAAGCATGTGGTTATACTCAATAATTACTCGATAACGTGATTGGGCAGGTTCTCAATATTACCAGTGTTTATAATGCTTGGTTTAACGTATTTTATGGTAAATACTAGATTTATGAGATTACGACACATCTTATCGTGAGGTATACCTCATAACCTGAAAACAAGATTGTACAACCAGTGCGAGTTGCCAGTGATGACTTATGGATTTGAGACGTGGTCCTATAAGTGAAGTGTAGGGTGTCCCCCCAATAGATGGAGTGACAACCTGGTAAGACACGCAAGGAAGGGAGGAAGGAAAGGAAGTCGATGGATACAGGTGGCTCAGGACCGTGCTTCGTGGCATTCCTTAGGGGAGGCCTATGTTTAGCAGTGGACTTGTGAATGGCTGTAATGATGATGAATACTAGAGATTTGATTACTGGGAAGAGGCGTTTCACTTGAGTACTTAGGTAGATTTCATTGATTTATAACTAGAATTCTTCACCGTGGATGATAGCAGTTAGTATAATCAACCTTCAAATCGGCTGCTTGCTTCTCTATCACCCATATTTCAAAGCCACTTAAGATTTCTTTTGTTTTACAGAACCGCAACTTTCTTGACTAGGAGAGAATTTCTTTGGCCGTAAACACATATGATTCATTTTTTATACAAGTAAGGATGTCTAACCAGCCCATAGTTCGTCTAAAGATAAGTAAATACTGTGGCCCATAGACATTGTATACCCTTGATGAGGCTCAAAATGTAAATATGTCCCCTGAAGATTAAGATGGAATGACCGCTTGTAAGGCTCGTTCTCGAACATAAGAAACAGCAACATTATGCTATCAATTTACGTCGGTATTTCTGAGAGCACGGTCCTTCGGACGAGCCGATCTATTTATGATGAAACCATAATACAGCCTTAGTCTGTCTATATCCACGTAGGTACATACACTACGTTTGAATGCCAGTGTTACATTAGAAATATTAAAATTTAATCATATGAAAGTTTTTTTTTTTTAGTAACATGATAGCGACTACTAGAAGAAGAAAAAAGCTTGACTATTTTATGGCCTAGAAAATTCACATTATACCATTTCAATCACTTCACTTGTAGATATATATGAATTATTTAACTTGTAGCCAAAGTAGTCGAGCTAAAGAGAAAAGCGAGGTTAGTTAGATACCTGTGCTGCTGCACGCGTACGGTGGCGGCATAGCGCGAAGGGTGCGCGTCCATGGAGCCCACTACGGCCGCGATCGACGGCTTCTTGTTGTCGCCCGCCGGCGGGTGTGTCACGTCCACGCCCAGGAAGATCACCGGCTCGTTGAACACCTGCAAGCCCATACACTGCATCAATACAAGCCTCCGACAACACGTAAATTATTCTGATATGCGAATTCTTCAAACATCCTTTAAAAAGATCGAAGCTCTTTATAAGTTGGACTGATTTATATAAAAATAAATAAATCGATTTCCGTAATATCACCAATAATTAAAGTATGAATATATTTTTTATGACAACAACACTTAAGGGGCTACTCCATGCGAACGACCTTGAGCATTTGGCCGGCGGCGCGCCGCTCGCTTCAATATATTGCTTATGAAATATGTAAAACGCCACCTATTGTAGGTACGAACGTAGTATTATTTTTTCAACATCAATAAACTAATTTATGGAAATACACACAGCGTACAACGATAAATGTATTTTAATTTTTTTATTCGGTATATTAGTTGCATTATATTAGAATTATGTATTTTCATATATTATCTAATTATGAAATTTTATAATTAATTATATATTAAAAATGAAGCATTGAAAATTAAGAGTTTAAAAGATACCTATTCACTATAGGTAAATAAATAGATAGCTCGCCTTTTGTACAAATATTTGGTGCAATAAAGAATAAATAAATAAATAGGATGTTTCGCAGATGTGTTTTTGATTATTGTTAATTTTTACGTGTCACGTATTGAAAAGTAACATACCTACCTACTAATTTTTGAACTGAGCACCTTGTAACTTAGCCTGCTTATTACTTATGCTGGCAGACATTATCCTCACCCCAATGATTGACGAGGATGAAAATCAATTTTATTTCTACATACGTAATTATATTTATTTATACATAAGGGTAACTTTAATGAAGGTAATACAAAAATCAACAAGAAGTATAAGGGTTCAATCTTTCAATTTTAATTATAAAAAAACGTTACCCCCACACTAGGATTTTCTCCTGTGTCGTGGAGGCAGTTTACAAACATAAATTGCACCGGGACAAACATCCAGACCCGGAACAATTATTTGTAGGCCATACAAATACTTGTTCCGTGCGGGATTCGAACCCGCGGCCCCCAGCGCAACAACTGATTGCTAAGCCACTGCGCCACGGAGCCGTCGCCGGGTTATAGCTAAAGTGACCATACGTCCCGTTTTGAACGGGAATGTCCCTTTTCTCGGTCACCTGTCTCATTGTCCCCAAACAAAGCTCCGGGACACAAAATTGTCCCGTAACTCGTTGGATGGAAGTATTCAAAGTCAACAATCTTCAACATAATTTTTTTTAATCGAATATATTTTATGTCTACCTGGTACAAATGCTCCGGTAGAAAGAGTATTTTTTATTTTGAATAAATTGTGGACGTCTGAAAGAAACACTTACGGTTCCAGTTCTAAAGGCGATGTTGTTAACAAAGATAACAATAAAAAACTTGAGCAGAATTTTATTCTTATTTCACCAACTTTATTAAAACAAATTTAATCCACTGACAAATGTAATTAATAATTTAAAAAAATATGTTGCATTTAATAATTACCGTCTATACCGAATATAATTTTATAGTGAACACTAATTGTATAAAGTTATAGTGTTTAGAGTATAAATAAACCCATGTCCTGTTTTGAGTTAAAAAATAAATGGCCAGTTTAGTCTTTTTAGTTAAATTTATATTTAAATTTTTTTGTTTATAGAAAAAAGTAGGTATATTAGTACCTACTTAGATACTTTTTACCGAATTATAAGTATACAACACCTTATGTACTCAATTATTTTTTTTGAAGAAGAAAAAACAAGCAATAAATAATATACTATATTTTAGCAAAAAACTATAACTTAGTAATACTAATTATAACTTAGTTATAACTTAGAACATAAATGAAAAACTCATAACTGACTTTTTGGGCCGATCCAGGATTCGAACCCGGGACCTCATGATCAGCAGTCGCACTACTACAACCACTAGACCAACGAGGCAGTACTATACCTAATAAGATATTGTGGTTGGGTATTAGGATTATTTTTAACTGTATACTATACTGATAATATCGAATTAGCCTTTTATAGTGTAAATTATAATATTTGTCGAAATGTTAATTATGGATTCGAACCTTACATGCTAATGGTGCTTCATTTTTTTATTTGCATTTACTTCAAAGAAAATACACGCAAAAAGCTTCATCGCGCAGTAAAAAGCACAACAAATATATGTATAACTAATACGAAAAATTATACTCAAAACAAACAAATAATACTACCTATAAATAACCTAATAAGTAGTAATATTATCGACTGATATGACGTGAGCGTATGCGCTGGCCGACGCTCTAACGACACGGGCTTAACGTCGAAGAGCTCAGCGCTCACTGACTCCAGCAAGCCCGTGGGCAGGGGATACGCCCAGATTTTAAAATACTTTCTTAATAAAATCAAATTTTGGTCTCTTGAAAAAAAAAAATTATAATAGAAATGTTCATTAATAAATTGCCTATCCATTGGTGTAAATCGCAAAATAAAATAATACTTACTTTACGAGGAGATGCATGTTATCAATAATAATTTCACATTTATGTGGTTTCGTTGTAAAGAGATTATATTAATATTTATTCCTTTAAAAAAAAATTGGATATAGCTCTTATGAAATCAAGATTATATAGAAATATAATGTGTTTTTTATTTGTTGATATATCTTTTAAATAAAAAGTAGATAGCTCCTAAAAACCGCACAAATAACGACTAGCGCGACATTTTGCTCAACCTGCGCCTTAAAACGATTTTGCGATCGATGTCAATTCAACAAAGGTTTTATTCTCAGAGTAAAGATAGGCATAGGAGTCACAAACAGGCAAAAAAACAGCACTATTTATGCTTAAAACATTACAAACTTTACAGATTTTTTTTTTAAATTTATAATAAGCTAGCGCTTGACTGCCACCCCAGCTGATGGTAACACAATACACAACCCATACTGAAATCGAATGGAAAGACAAACGATGGTAGCATTTTAACTGTTAAGTTTAAAAATAGTTCTTTTGTTATATTTGTTCCGGCTAATCTCCGAAATCTTTTGACCGATTTTGACAGGACTAAGGAGTAATTAAAAAAATTTAAAATCCATAAAATCTAAACGTTATAAATTCCATACGCATGAAGTCGCAGGGAACCGCTAGTATACCATAAAACCATCTAAAGAAAATTCTACTCGCTATATTTGGAGACGTCCTTGGTCAATATGTCTAATCTTGTTATGTATTTGATAAACTATGAGCAAAATAAAACCATTGTATACAACCATCGTTTGCGCTGTTCATGATCATGTCATATTTTATAATTTATTCACTCATTACAGCTTATCAAAAGGCCACTTATGAACATAGGCTTCAAGGGCTTCACCCATACATTGATTCATTGCGGGGATATTTCCGGGTTGGCTACCAATTTTTTTTTTAATCTAAGACTATACAATTTTGAGCTTTTCACAAGAAGATGCTGCTGCCCATCTCCTGTTTTAGTTCCTCAGTTCCTCTTTGTCGGCTTTTTAGTCACCCAAGGGGTGATATGGTGTAGTGAATTCTCTTAATCCGCCACTACTTTATTTTATAGTGTGACTGCCTGATTAGACTGGCACCACGGCGGTGTCAAGAAGTTGGAGGTATTTCACCCCCGTGTTTTGGTAAGTACGTGCAGCCGTTGTCTGATCTCTCTTCGGTTGTGTCATAAAGATAATGTATAGTTAAAATAAAGAAATAATAAGTTAGTTTATATTACATACTAAGTAAAATACTATGGCTATTTAATCTGGAGGACATTATTATTATATTACCATATATGGGTAATGTGACCATATGGTGATTCGCTGCGGCCGGCTAAATTTTAAATTATTTTGGGGCTCTGTTAAGAATTTAAGAATACAAAAATTGGCAGTATGGTATAAAAATAGGCACCTCTAATAATAAATATTGAATTGTACTCAACTGACAAAGTCGTGGAAAATAAGAATTATTAATGAAATGAAAGCGAGAAAGAATTTTCGATTGGCACGCGTTAGAAAGAAATGCGGCGCTGTCGAAATTCGACAAAAAAGAGCCGCGCCTTTTGTTACACTCGTAACTTGTACTTAAATTTCCTACTGTACATTTTAGACAATTTTTTGCTGGTGAATTGAAAGTTTTTTTACAATGCATTTTTGCAACGCTCGCGTAATTAAGTACCTATCCAACGATTTTAATTGAAAGTTAAAAATTATTGCGAAAAGGATGCTTTTTGTTGTAGTATTATATTAGTAGTATTTCAAAATCAAAAGCCGCTTTTTATTTGATTTAAGCTTTTTTATGTTTGTGTTGATTACTTAACCGATTTCTCTCGAAACAGGTGCTTCTTTTTGTAATGGACTTTTGCATTTGCCCACATTTGCCATGTTACGCCATAACAATTTCGCGGCCCAGTAAGCTAACATGTTGTATTATGTCATAAAGATTTTGCAGTAACACATTTTAATATCAATTTAAGAGGTATGTGAATGTAAAGCTGTAAATTTTCATACAAAAAGCGATAATGTTTTCTCCCCCGTAAACATAGAGTAATTTTCATAATTTTCGGAAACGTAAATATAATGAAAAACAAGGTCTCTACGTTTTTATTTTAAAGAAAAATTGCGTACGATATAAGTTATTAGCATCTAAATATCAATTTTTTTACTTAAAGACTTCCTCGAGCGTTTTTATTTTCATTTTTAATTAAACTAAACTGAATTTGGGTGGGTGTACGAGTCCCAAACCAGTTAAGGACATATTTTCACTTCGAAATACTCTGAACTGGTATTATTTAATTTTAACATAGAAATGTATATACAAAGTTGTTTATTGATAACTAATTTTGCAATATAGATAAATTATTTGATTCCAAATATTGAAGTTTTTTATAGATTTCATTAATTATACGAAAAACGGGAATGTGCCTAAGTTTGACCAGTGCGCTCCAATAAATGACCACTTTTGCGCCAATAGTTGAGCACTGAAAAACTTATCAAGAAAAGGTAGCTAATTGAAAATAAAACACTATTTTGTTACAAAAATTGACTTTCATATGATGAAAAAAGAAACGTATAGACCTAGATTAAGGTATATATATTATATAAGGTATATATATTATATAAGGTATATATAAAGTGATATGAAGCCAGCGGTATGAAACAGATAGCATCTTTGAAAATACCTACTCGCACCGCGTGTCGGCACTTCACAATCCTCTTAATAATATGTAGTTCAGTGGCAAGATTGAGGTGAATAATTATTATTCACCTCAATCTTGCCACTGAGCTATACGTAGACATTTACACGTATAACATATTATTATATATTGTTATGATAAAAAAATATATTCAAATTGGAGATACTTAGATCTCAACTATAAACCAGGTGACAGAACATAATAATTAAAAATATTGAACCGCACCATATAAATTTTTACTATTGGTGATATTAATTTGACATATTCAAACGTCTAGTTTGTGCTTTTATGTAACTATTTGCTTTTTTTGGCTCAATCAAATATTTTATAATCCAAATATTAGCACATAACGAATTTACTTCAAGTACAGAGTGGGCCAGAAAGATATACGATTTTAAAAATGGAATTACTTCGGAATGGTAAGCGGGAGGTGGGTTATGTATCTCGATGCACGGAAATTTTGTCGGTGTTCGCGATGGAGTGTTTCACGGGCGCGTAACACTGGTTCTGCGTTAAAAATTATTTCAAAAATCATCGAAGTAATATGTACTACGTACTAGAACATCACACCAAGACTTGTTTGTTTGCAACGCGTGTTAAGAGTCCACGGGCTCAACATAAGCATAAGCAACAAACATAAGCCTAGTAAAAACGCCTTCATGCGTACTGAGGTGCCGCTTAACCCACTCGAGAAAAGCTCTCTTTTTTATCGATAAAATACACGAAATTTATTATCAAAATCATATTTAACAATTGTCACTCGTGACGAAACTTCACCGCGATCGCGGCCATATTTCGGTAAATTATAGATTAACTTCTGCTCAGATGTGATACTTGACGTTGTAATCAAAAATAATATGTTTAATACGTTTTAGTAAAAGTTGTTATATTATACTGAATATAAATATCAGACCAATAACATTACAAATGTAACAACATAATATTTTATACCATTAGAATGCAAACTAAGGTCGAAAATGGCCTGAACTGCTTCGAGAAAAGAATGGTATAATTTATTCTTAACATACTGATGGCTGATGTTTCTATTAAAACTTTCCTATTATTCTCGGTGGCTTTCCATTTAAATCAAAGTTCCTTAATAATGCGGCGAAGACTTTTTTCAGAACCTTCAAATTTTATATCGGCACGTAATTTTGCACGAAGTTTACCAAGGGTCGGTAATTCGTTTTCAGTTAAAAGAAAATTGTGAATACATCGTTTTATTACCCCCTTGTCAAAATTGTCTATGCCTGTGACTGACTTTATTCGTTGCCTCTTTTTACCAGGAGTCCTAAAAGTAACTATAAACTCTGAACTTTTACTTTCTTTAACAATCCTTTTAACTGTGGATACAGACTTTTTCGTAGCTTCCGCAGTTTTATTCAGAGAACAGTTATATTATTTTCTTTAAAAAAATAATTATAAACATAAAATATCATTCTTCTCCCCTGTCTCCTTAAAGTTGGTTGTGGTCAAGTCATTTTTTTGAAATTAAATTAAATGATCACGCAATCGACAGAATTATAAATGTCAAAGAGTTGAAAACTTCGTAAGCGATTGTACTCCAGGACCGCGCGGTGAGTGCGCGGGTAGCGAGGGACAGAGTGCGACTGAGTGGGGCAGTGGGGTCTAGCGCCGCCATGTTGCTATGGTTACGCGCGGCCGCTCGCGGCGCACCTCATACCGCACTTCGATTGAGACCCGAAAATGTGTTACTGCGCATACAAGGTCACAGTTCAACTTACGTGCCGCGATTTATACGGCCGTGCCGCTTTTTTGCTCGACTTGGCGGGGCCACTACCGTGCCCTCAGATAAAGTAGGTTAAGGAGTACTATCTCATAAGGGGGACAAGATGAAAAATTGTCCAGTTGTAAGCTGTAAATAACAGTTCTAAAACCTTCCAGAATGGCGCTAGCGTAGATACAGGGTATTATATATTATACGAATGTAGCAGTTGTAAACGGATTGGTGTGTCTAGTTAAAAAAAATATATTTTTGGTGACTAGAGTTTAGTTACAGTACTAGTATACAAAACTTCAACTATTCACGTAGTCCAAAAGTATTTTTAAATATAACCTAAAAAAAACTACTGTGAGAAAACGTGGAGCGATTTTATTTTTGTCAACATCAATTAGGTTTAGTATTTTTTTAGTGTGAACTGTTATATATATATTTTTTAAATGATCCATATTAATTTTTCTGTTTTTAAAATTTACCCTGCTGCTATTGTTGGCGCAACCCGCTAAAAGTAATATTAATACGTATTATCTTAAAAAAACCTGTTAAATAAGAACATTAATTTTACTTTGTATTTCCTTACAGTAATTTATAAGTCACAATGACTTGTCTGAATGACTGACTTGAATGAATGACTTGACTGCATCTTAATATTGAGTAGCGTTTGAGTATTTGAGCATATGACAACTTTGTCTCGCGTGCGCCCCGCACTGTTTAACAACTAATAATCTAATCTAAATAAATATAGATTTCTTAATAAAATGTAATATTCATGATCTTCCAAAAATGTGTTTTTTTTAAGTTACGTATTTGACTTTTAAAATATTCAAATAAAAATATCTAATATTATGTTTAAATTAGCACATATGCAAAATAAATAATATATTAAAAAATGTACTCGGTATAATTAACAACATAATATAAATAAACAATTATTACATACTTATGATTCCACCTATGCATAATCTATGATGACAAAAACTAACCGCGCATGCGCGATTGCACAATACCACTATCCCCGCACATGCGCGAAAACAGAGTAGCGCATGTATAGCTAGTACATAAGTAGGTACATAATATTACTTCAATGACAAAAATGGTGATTTTTGCACTGTCGTTCGGTGTTTATTTCGCAAAGAGTTCAGATTACACGATTTTAATCAATATGCCAGTGGGAGTGTCATTAAATCGTGGGTCAGGAAGTTTGAATCCACCGGTTCCACGCTAAATCAAAAACCTGCGGCAGGTTTAAGGTCAATAAGAAAACAAGAAGCAATTGATGAAGTTAACATTTCCATACAGTGCAATCACAAGACAATCAACTCATAAGCGATCAGCTGAGCTCTCTCTATAGCGGACATCTTTGCCTCGCATATTAATGAAAGATATTAAATTGAACCCTACAACAAAACACAGTACAGTTAGTGCAGGACATTAAACCAAACAACCATAATTTACGTCATATTTTTGTTGAAACAATATTGGAGTCCTACCGGAGTTTCAAAAATATTCTCTTTTCCTACGAAGCTCATTTTCACATAAATGGGCATGTTAGTAAATAGAATTGTCGTTATTGGACAAAGTCAATCCAAAACTGAAACATCAGAAACGATTGCATTCACCAAAAGTAACAGTTTGTGCGGCTATGTCAACACAAGGGATCATCGGACCTTATTTTGTTAAGAATCAACGAAAGCAAGCAATAACCGTAAATTATGACCAACACACAAGTATGTTACGTGATTTTTTTCTTTCCGAATATGTAAAAACTGCAAGTCTATAACCGTGCCACGTGGTTTCAACATGATGGTGCCACATGCCATGCTTGTCATTGGCTGTCATCAACGAGATGTTTGCCGGAAAAGTGATATTGCACAGAGGGGATATTCCATGACCTCCCAGAAGTCCAGACCTGATCCCATTACATTTGTTTGTGTATATTAGTCTAGTTTACTGCAATAAACGTTTGTTAGTATAATTAAAAGCCAATATCTGGGAAGAAATGGCCTCTATTCCACACGCACGGTGCCAGCGAGTTTTTGTCAATTTAAATATAATAAATTTTGATGTGAGATGCCCGAAGGCAAGCAAGCTTTTCAAATAATAAAGACAAGCTTCGAAGAGTGTTTGCAACGAGATGGATCACATCTGGATCAAGTTATTTAAAAAAAAATTTTAATTTGAAATTATATTTGTATATATTTTACATGATTTTTTTAAAATCCACCAGACTTTCTGGCCCAGCCTGTATTATATTTTAAAGATTATTTTATAAATAAATACAGTTACAGCGAAATTCTAAAGTAGTACATACAATACTTTTCCTCTGGATGGCAGTATTGTTTATGGCACTTACACCTGTAGGCATAAAGATAAATACAGAAAGACTAACAATAAAGAAAAATAGTTGCAAAATTTTATTTTCCGCTTACATTTAAACGGTCCGTGGAAAGTGTACTGTTTTGTTCTAAAATAGGGCGCGCGTCTTGGTGGTGCTCAGACAGGACTTGCTATGAAGAAATAATAACTGACATGAACACAGTTAATTTGAAACTACTGATAATATTATAGGTCTCAAATTATCTGATTAAAGTGCAGTTTTATCTTTGTTTATTTTAATTAATTTTCCATAAGAATCCTAATACCTACTACCCTTATCGAAAGTCAGGTTGGTTAATTGGAATAATTTATAAAGAATGAGAAATGGGCATGCAGGCCAGATTGAACAGAATTATTTTGCCTTAACAGCAATAATATTTAGCCCGCTTGTTGGTTACATTACTAAGATCTTAAAATAATATCTGCTACATAATAGCAAAGTCAAAAGTTACGGAAAAAGCTAAAAGATCCTGTCAAAAATAGTAAGATATAAATTATAATAAATACCTTTGGACGTAGCGATGGAACTAAAATTGAGTTTATTCCTCCCAGTTTTACGTTAATTTTTAAGCACAAGTTGCTGAGAGTCTGTGGCGAAGTTTTGTTTACATTCTTGGCTTGCACACATTGAGTCGCCATCCCGAGAACGGTGTCACCGACGCGTTTCACTTCAGCTGTACAAAATAGAATGGGTTAAGGTTTCATGCACAAAAACTCTTTAATAAAAGAATATCGAGCAAGCTGTGCCCAAGAGCAGCTATAGACAGAACTATGCTAGAGGTTTTCTCTACGTAATCGGTAAGGAGAATATTTGCAGCTTAGCTTAGCTTAGCTTACCATGTAGTGGCGGTGTAAGAATATCCACTACCCCACATCATCCCGTGGGTGTCGTAAGAGGCGACAGAGAGAGATGAGCAACAGTGTCGTCCTAATAACGATTAAAAATAAAAAATACTGCGGTTGCCAACCAGCTTGCCAAGCGTGGCAACTATGGCAAATATGAGGCAATCTATGGGTGAGACCTATGTTCAGCAGTGGACTTTAGTAGTCTGTAATGGTAATGGTAAGTTAATGTAACGAACAAAGAAGGGATCAGTAAAGTTCAGCAGTCTACTTGCGATAGGCTGTGAACTGTGATACAAAAATATCATGGTACAGGAATATTTACAGTATTTCACCATAAAATTATAAAATGTAGCATAAATAAGAAAAAATATTACATTTCAATAATATATGAGATTATACAGTATAAATAGTAGGTCAATGACGCAGTGGCTAAGCGTTTCCTTGCAGCAATCCTGATTGCGGGTTCGAATCCCACACAGAAGAATTATTTGTATAGCATACAAGTAATTGTTTCGGATATTTCTACTTGTGCAATTTGTGTATGTAAAACGCCTCCACGATAAAGGAAATGAAATGAGTGTGGGTTAAATGGTTTAAAATAAAAATATAATGTCGTAATTCTTACTGCCTAAGCAGACTAAGTGTATATTTATCAACAAACCTTACAAACAGATCAACATACTGTCAAAAGTAGTTTTTATACAATATTCTGTTACTGATTTAGTATCCGTCAAAAATATTGAAACAGTAGCAACATTAACAGAGAAAAAGTATATATTATGATGAAAACACAATTGTTTCTATATTACTCTGCAAGTAATACATTCAATCACCTTTTTTTTAAAACGTGATACTTGGAATTGATATTTGGATAGATTTTTTTTTAATTTTTTAAAAAAATAATTGAATAATAAGTCAAGCGAATAGTGGTGGTATAAGCATATCATTTACTACTCATTTCGTCTCGTGGATATCGTAAAAGGAGACAGAGGAAAACAAACAAGAAGATGGTCAGCAGCATCTTACTAATAACAACAAGAAAGTAATAAAACTGTGCCTAGCGTGGCAGCTATTTTAAACGGGCCCCTTATAAGCCATCTAATAGAAGACCTATGTTCATCAGTAGACTTTTATAGGATGTGATGGATGGATGAGCATTGAATAAATGAAGTCGCGGTACAAGCCTTAAAAAGGTAAAACATAATGTTAAGTGCATTCAATACTAGTTTCATTATTTTACTACAAGCAAAACTGTTAAGTAACTGGAGGTTTGTGGTTATTTGAACATATTGAAAAATCTAAAATTAATGAGAGTTTTTATTCCACCCATAATTATAAATCTAGAAAAGGGAGACATTATAAATTGAAAGCACACCGGTTTGAACCCAATGAAATGAACTAATGTTCAAAAGAAAATAATCTTACTTCAGACAAAACTACTGAAGTGTAGTACTACCCATCACAGAAAAAAATTAATCCAAAAATATATTAAATAGTTCTTTTCTATCTAATAAAAAAGTACCTTAATAAAAACCCAAAACATTAAGTAACAGTTTCAAACAAAGGTATAGCATGCAAGCCTTAAAATTAACATTTCACAAAATGTCATTTCATGCAGTTAGTCAGTTTAAGCAGTAAGGAGACAATATTATGAGAATGTTCATGTGCTTATAAAACAAACTAATAAACTAAGACTTACCATAAACAGGAGTTTTCCCTGGCAATACTACAACAACCAACTGCAGCTGCACAAATGTGGATTTCAGATACTTAAACATAGGTTCCACCTGATCCGGTCCAGTGGCATATTTGCAAAAGCAAGGTTGCCCAATTATAGGCATACCGGCATCATTTGAAATCTTTTGCAGTTGCTGTGTAAAGTTCCTGAGTTGCATAGAATAAATGATGTTTTTATTTTAAAATACCACAGAAAATTAATAAATTAATGAATAGATAAGCAATACTGTAGCTGATATGTCAGTCAACACATTAGTGACGATGATATCTTCAGCAATTCCAGAGAGTATATAATCACTATGTTTAAGGCAATTCTTTCATTTTGAATTATTGTACACCAATGAAAGATTAACATAACTAATTATACAAATATTGAAGAAAACCAAAACTAGGTATTAATGCTATAGCAACAGTTTTTTTCCAGACAACCCAAAAAAGGATTAAATAAAAGGGAGAGAAAGGTTAACGCGATTAATTTCAAATAAATCTCTAAATATTGATGGCATTTTAAGCTAACAGACAATCGTTAAATGCGCGTCCACTTTGAAAACACATTTCAAGTTTGAAAATTGAAAATACGGACCACACTTTGCTAATAAATACAGCAACAAAGTTTCAAGTTTAACTAGTTTGGATCGTATGCAACATATAAACACAGCACATCGCATTGATTTTCATAAGTGATACGGAAATGGAAATGAATGGATGTTAAATTTTGTATTACTGATAAACAAAATATATTAGACCGGTCAAAATAGACATTCAGGGTTACAATAATTCGCATAGAGCTAAAAATTGTTATGAACGTTGTTATAAATTAAATGTGAAAAGTCCCCATTGATCCCACACCCCTTACCCTTTTTTCCCTAAGAATCACAATTTCTGAGATATAACAAAGTATAAGTGTAAGAACAATTTTTATAGATAATTGTATGATCCACAATTTTTGTGTGACCTATATTTATGATAAAACTTACCGTTTAGCAGAAAAATGCAAAAAAAAACGTGAACTTTGACATTGAATAAATTTTTTGTAGATGTGGGTACGATGGAGACTTCACATTTCGTTTGTAATGGTGTTCCTAACATCCGTACCAATTTTAGCTCATCGCGAATTATTGTAACCTTACCCCTATATTTTGAGTTAACTTGACTGGACCACTTATATGATAGTTTAAAAATAATTACAGTTCAGAGATGAGAAAAAATATCCACGGTATGTATGTAATAATATTAATAAATTTCAAATTTTAAAACATTTAAATTAAAAAGACAATTCAAAAAGTGAAGAAAATCCATGAGATGATTCACAAGTGGTAGAAGATACCAGGTAGGACTTCTGTCAAGGCAACTATCGAACTAGTCCATTTTAAAAAGAAATAGTTTGCAATTTTTTTAAATATTCTGATTAACTGTCAAGTGCAAGTTAAAAGTGTGCATAAGGTGGGTACTGAGAATTCACCAAAGGCAACGACTCGTTTTGCAGTGAGAACAAGTAATATGTCTTGGATATGAAACTAAAAATAGGTTAAGGTGTTGCTATGGACTTAAAACTCATGGCCACAGGTATTTTTAATTTACTTGAGTATATTTTACTTACTTGAGAGCATCTTCTCTAACAGTTCTTTGAGGAGCAAAACACGCAATGGCCCAGACACGAATCTCAACTCCCATAAAGAACTGTTTTCCCCGCATGTCCCAAACTCCTTGATTTGGCAAAGCTTGCTATGAGGAAAAATATTCAAAATGAAAATATTAAAAACAAAGAAACCAACTGCCGTAAAGTGTTATTAACTAATTTAAATGTTTTTCAATAGAACAAATTCGATCATATGAATATATTTCAAGCAAAAGCTATCTTGTTTTTAGTAGTGTGATATTACTATAAAGCTTGTGATTCTCTGAAGATCAAAAATAAATCTGACAACTCAATCTCACGTCGAAGGAGCGAACAAACATATGTATACATTTCATTCATTCACAAGCCTATCAAAGTTACACTGGTGAACATAGGCTCCCCCATAGAATGCCTCATGGGGTGGATATTTGCCACAATAGTCACAACAACAGTTCTACCCAAAAACTGAGCTGTATGTATTTTTTGCAGATACATAAAGCTTAAATCAATAGAGAAAATTTAGGGATTAGATAGTATAATAAAGTATAAGTTGATCATGAGAGGGTATCCGGGCAGTATTTAGTCCATACAAACATATAGCTACTATTTTCTATGATGCACTCTATATCTACCTGTTTCGTTTTTTCCTATTAATTATTAATCACTTTAAAAACTAGGAACCTTATAAGTTATTACATTTTTCTGGTTATACCACCATTATGAGACATTGAGAAGACTATTTTAACAAACATAAAATTAAATGAAAAACATACAGACTAAGCTTCAATCCCTATTTTTTTCTTTAAAAAACGTTTCCCCCTAAACTAGGATTTTCTCATGTATCGTGGAGGCAGTTTACATAAGTTTGACAAAGACAAACATCCAGAACCAGAATAATTATTTGTAAGTCCTACAAAGCAGCTCTCAGCGCTGCAACTAATTGCTAAGCCACTGCGCTACGGAGCTGTAGAGCCTTTACTCTTGTGTCGTTCTTGAAAAACAATGAAATTCAGTCCGGTTTCGGAGAAGGAAACAGTGGAATACGGAAAGTCTGAGATGTTATCTCTCAACAGCTATAGACTTAAAAATCTATTCTTCACATTTCTTGTAGCCCAGATATCCTTAGGATTATAATAGTCATACATACAATTTACACACATTATGTTGTTACGCAGCTTTACTGTACGTGGCAGAGCCATGCTGCAGCTATATTAATAGTATAGTTGTAGCACGAATGGGTCGGTTCGACCAGGGAAGGACCACGCTCTCAAAGAATACCAGCATAAAATAGCTGCTTAATGCTGCTGTGTTTCGTATGGTGAGTGTAGAGAACCGGAGACCCTTCTTACTGGAAAAGAGGCATTCTATCTTAGTCCTCACAGCTGACAACGCATCTGCATTTGAATCCGCAAACGAAGATAGATGTAGATGTCTATGGGCCACAGCAACCACGTACCATCAGGTGGATTGTGTGCTCGTTTGTCACCCTAATTCTATAATAAAAGCAACTTTTTATTACAACAGGGAGACAAATAATTTTTAACATTGTCAAGTAAGTAAATATACAATAAGACAAAGCAATGAAAATGCAAAACATTTAGTTTGTACTAACTTGTCCGCCAAGAGAAGAAACACGCCCGCCATACTGAAGTTTTGGTGGTGGAAGTACACGTCCACGCACCTCCATCATGTTGTTGGATATTGTTAATCCAAACTCTTTAACATAGAGATCTGTATTGAAGTTTGCTCGACGAACCAAGTTGTTGATTTCACGCTCCCTGAAATTTAAATTTTTAATGTCATTTATTTATTATCTATACTACATTAACGTTACCTATAATAAAAGTCACCTACCTTCATTATGAAATCATTAAAAATAACATGAAAAATTCAGTGTTTTTATAAAAATTCCTAAGCTGCTTATTATAGGTTAGTTATAGTTATAGGCCCCGTACAAGATGGAGTGCAATAAAAATAACAATTGGCATAACCCAACGGATCAGTAAGCTGAAGTGGCAAAGGGCAGGCTGTATTGCTCAAAGATCCAATAACCAATTGGGAAGAAAGGTTTTCGCGTGGCAGTCTGTTACTGGAAAGCAGTGGTGTCGGGCATGCCCACTAGATGGAGTCACAACCTGGTAATAGATTTGTGCTTTGTGATCATGGAGTATAGAGTAGAAGGAGGACCATCTCTGTATATGAATATGTGTCCGTAAAAACGGGTCCAATAAGGGTGGTGCTGCTAATTAGAATAAGATGGAGAAATAAACAAGGACCGATCAATCTGCTTGGTTTTGTACTACATAAATAGTTGAGGTTTTGTATATCATTTTATTAACTACTCGTCATGAAAATTTTTAAATATTTGAATTCAGCTGACTTCACTTCATGTACAACAGCTATTGGTATTTGTAATAGAGGATAGATGTAGATGTCTATGGGCCGCAGCAACCACTTACCATCAGGTGGACTGTGTGTTCGTTTGTCACCCTTATCTTATAAAAAAAAAGCTATATTCATATCGTAGTATTTCAGACGCCAGCGCTATTGTGGTAGGTTTTTGAACCTCTATTTTGAGTATACAGTTGGACACTTTTTCAACTTTCCCCCCATGTGAGATGGTTCTCCTTCTACTCTATACTCCATGTTTGTAATATTGCAAGGGGGAGGCCTATATTCAGCATTGGACTTTTAAAGAACTGTAATGATGATGATGATAATGACTGGCTTATTTTTAATTGCAACTTGTTTATAGAAAACAACCCACCTGTCAGGGGCAGATCTGGCAGTAGCTTTAATCATAGTCGAAGTTTGCATGTCTGTTAATTTTTTAATACATCTCTGTCCAGGCACAATATTACAGACTTCTAAAGGCAAATATGTGTGCTTGTGCTCTTGACCCACTTGAAGACAGGGCAAGTGAGGATATCTGAGTTTCATTTTATACTTATCCAAGAAATATTTGGCTACTGTACACTCTACAGTCTGTCCATTATCTAATTGTAGTGGAAACCTGTAATAAGCAATTACATATATTAAAATAAATTGTTTATCTACTACTGCTATCAAGAATTAGCATATATACAAGGTGATAGGTGTTCTTTTGTGCATAGCGTTCCATCTAGGTAGGCCGGTCCTCTTACTGATTTCTACCACCTACCAAGAATACAATTCAATATATTCCAGGTTAAAGTTTAAAACACCCTGTATAATAACAGGCTGTACTGTAGTTCAACGTAATTTCAGGTTAGTCTTCTTATTCAATGATTTTTATTTTTTGTGATATTACAGCACACTAATGACTATTAGTGTGCTGTAATATCACCATACCATTTAATAGGCTTTAAGTTTGTTTGTCACTATCTCTATATATAAAAATCAATATTGATTAGTCTCTTAAATAGTCACCTTCGATTTGCCAACGATATAGTCCTTATGGCAGAATCGCTGGAGGACCTAAGCACAATGCATAATGACCTCAATAGTGTCTCCTAACGGATAGGTCTTAAGATGAATATGGACAAAACAGAAATCATGTTTAACGTCCATGTTACACTTATACCGGTAGTTGTTGGGAGCACTAAGCTCAAAGTTGTTGATAAATATGTTTATCTGGGCCAAATAGTCCGACTAGGTAAGCCAAACTTTGACCGAAAGGTCAATCAACGGATTCAACTTGGCTGGGCAGCGTTCGGGAGATTACGATACATCTTCTCGTCAGACATACCTCAAAACTAGATTATTCTAGTTTTGAGGTATGTCTGACGACAACACGCAACAACATGTTTATACAACCAAAGCGTGTTGCCAGTGATGACTTATGGATCTGAGGAGTGGTCCTTCACTGCTGGCCGTATGAAGAAGCTCAAAGTCGCTCAGTGAGCTATGGAGAGGGTTTTATGGTCGGCGTTTCTCTGCGTGATAAACTTAGAAATGAGGACATCCGGGATAGAACCAGAGTAACTGATATAGACCAAGGAATTAGTATGCTGAAGTGGGAATGGGCCGGCTATATAGCTCGAAGAACCGAAAACCAATGGGGAAGAAAGGTTCTCCAGTGGCAGCCTCGTACTGGCAGGCGAAATGTAGGGTGTCCCCCCACTAGATGGAGTGACGACCTGGTAAGACATGCAGGAAGTAAATGGATGCTGGTGGCTCGGGACCGTGCTTCGTGGCATTCCTTGGGGGAGGCTTATGTTCAACAGTGGACTTCTGAGGGGCAGTAATGATGATGATGATGATGATGATGATGATGATGATGATGATGAGTCTCGTAAAAAACTCGAAAATGGCTGGACCGATTTTAATGAATTTTTTTGTGTGTCCCTGGATGATCTAAACAATTCACAATTAGACCCGGTAGGTGGCGCTGTTATCGAGATCCAGAAATCACCCGTGCGAAACCAGGTCGGATCGCTAGTATTATATAAAATATATTGCCATAATGCTACTTACGACTGCATTTGAGCAGGTCTGCGTGTAACATTGCACACTCTATATTTACGCTTCATTGTTCCACAGTGTGTGATTTCAATCTTGAGTCCTTTGATCTCTTTAGTAAACTTAACACGCTGCGAATCTGTCAGAGGCTTTCTTTGGTCATTTATATCCCTTATATCTAATACTTCACACATGAATTCTATTACAGGTTGAGCTTTGTAAAAAGCAGTTGCAGACACTGTAATTAAGGAATTTATCATTACATTTTCAATACATCATTAAATAATGCAACAATGTAAAAGAGGATTTTATTTAATTATATAACTACCATCAATATTAAGCATCATTTTCCATTGACTTGGTCTCACAGACTGATGAAAACCAAACCAAACCTCTCTGCCACCACCAAGTGGATGATAATATCCTTCTGGAGAAGAAAAGAATGATCGCCCAACAGGTGTATACATCATAGATGGTAAGTGTCTCATAACTACATCCAATGCTAATATAGCATCATATGGAATTTGTCTTGTACGACCTTCTAAAGCTTCTTCCAAGGCAAATAGTGACACCTGGAAATAAATAAAATGCAGTCATAAATAACACAACAATGTATTGCTCTAAATCAAATAAATTCAAAAATATTGTATTAAAAACTTTTACAAAGTTTATTATTTATACATTATTGTTAATGCCTTAATTCCACTGTGTTAAGCAGGGTAAATATATAGCATAAATGAGCATTCCTAATTATAACTGACTTGTAAAATTTATAACTGGAAAAAAATAGTATCGGTTTAGAGAAAGGCTCTAGACCAAGAGTTGAAACAAAAGTGAGATAAAAGTATATACGGTACTACGAAGGGCACACTGAAATGATCGGGAATAGAATATTTCGGATTGAGTTACAATAAAACCTTTTTTAGAATTTGAATACTGGCCTCTTAGAATCTTAATGACATTCAAACAATTTAAAAAAATGTTTAAAAACAAAAACTATGTTGGTTAAAGTTGACACGTCGTTAACAGAAATTGAGATCACGCGTGAACATTTCCGTGCCATAATTTATCACAACTTTCGTCGCGGCTTATCTCAAGATAAATGTCTCAGCGAACTTGTTTCGATTTATGATGTTGAAGCACCGAGTCAAACGACAATATACCGCTGGTATGCTGAGTTCAGACGCGGTCGTATGTCGCTCAGCACTGTTTCTTCTGCAGGTCGACTAAGAACAGCGCTCACGCCTGAAAACATCGCAGCTGTGCGAACTACGAGGGTGGATTGAAAAGTACTCGGCCTAACACAGATCCATTCAATTCTAAAAATCAAATCTATCCACATTATTTAGTTCAGTTCAGACTAGTTCATTGTGTGAAGTTCGAAACGTGTGCGATAATTAGTTGTGATTTTATAAATTTATTAACAAAGTAATCGGACATAATTTCCGCGAATGGAGCAAATCGAGCAGCGTGCCGTCATTAAGTACCTCCATAAGAAGGGGCTATCATCAAAAGCCATCCATGATGACATGGTCAGTACATTAGGCGATTGTGCTCTGTCATATTTATCCGTCAAAAAATGGATAGCAGAATTTAAGCGTGGTAGAGAGAGTGTGAAAGATGAACCCCGCTCTGGAAGGCCTTCGATGTCAACTACTGACGAAAATATTAAAAAAGTACTTGATTTAATAATGGGAGACCGCAGATTAAAAATTAGAGAGATAGCCGAGATTATAGGCATCTCTTATGGACGAACTCAAAACATCATTGTCAACGAGTTGGGTTTCCACAAGGTGTCTGCGAGGTGGGTTCCGCGACTGCTTTCAGTTGAACAAAAAAGGACGCGATTGACTATTTCACGCGACTGTTTGGAGTTATTTGAAGCCGATGCAGATGATTTTTTGAATCGTTTTGTTACTATGGACGAAACATGGGTTCATTACTGTACACCGGAAACAAAACAACAATCAAAACAGTGGAGGAGACCTGGTTCACCACCCCCTAAAAAGGCTAAGTCGATTTTGTCGGCAAATAAGGTGATGGCTTCAGTATTCTGGGACTCGAAAGGTGTGATTATGATTGATTATCTTGAAAGGGGTCAGAATATAAACTCTGATTACTACTGCACCTTACTACGTCGTTTACGAGAGGAAATAAAAGAAAAACGTCGAGGAATGCTCAGAAGAAAAGTCCTGTTTCATCAAGATAACGCCCGTGTTCACACGTCAGTACAGTCAATGGCTGAAATTCACAACTGTGGCTTTGAACTGTTACCGCATCCGCCGTATTCACCTGATCTAGCACCATTAGACTTCTTTCTGTTCCCTAACCTAAAAAAGCACTTGGGAGGTCAAAGATTTTCGACAAACGACGAGGTCAAAGCAGCTGTAGACGCATATTTTGACTCTAAGGAAGAATCATTTTTTTTCAACGGTCTAAATGCTTGGAAGGGGAGGTGGCAAAAGTGTATTGAACTTGATGGTGATTATGTAGAAAAATAAAAATATAACTGATTTAGTATTTGTTTATTTTCTTGGTTAGGCCGAGTACTTTTCAATCCACCCTCGTATTATACATATTAGATGACCGTCATGTGACATACGAGCAGATTCGGGCTGATATCAGTATCGGAATGACTGCAATTCAGTCGATATTACATAATGAGCTGTGTGTAAGAAAGCTAGTTTCCCGCTGGGTTCCCCACAATTTATCCGAAGAGCAAAAGGCGGCTCGTGTAGATTGGTGCCGGAATACTCTGCAACGCTTCAACGGAGGGAAGTCAAATGCCGTTTATAATATCGTCTCAGGTGACGAATCATGGATTTATTCATACGAACCTAAAAGAAAACATCAGTCTTCCAAGACGAGGTCAAACCAACGAAAGTGGTTCGCTCCCGCAGTGTGTCAAAGAAAATGGTCGCTACGTTTGTCTCGAAAAAGGGGCATGTTGCTACAATTCATTTACAGGAACACAGAACGGTTACCGCTGAGTGGTATATCACGGTTTGTTTGCCAGAAATGATAGCCGAACTCCGAAAAAATAACCCGAAAAGTCGCATCATCTTACATCACGATAATGCGAGCTCCCATACGGCTCAGAAGACAAATGATTTTTAGAAAGCAGGAAAACGTTGAGCTGATGAGACATCCTCCATACAGTCCTGACCTGAGCCCAAACGATTTCTTTACATTCCCTAGAATGAAAGATTTATTACGCGGTCAACGGTTTGAAGACCCCAAAGCAGCTGTGGAAGCGTACAAATCAGCCATTTTGTCAACATCAACTTCAGACTGGAATTACTGTTTTAATTATTGGTTTGCACGAATAGAAAAGTGCATTAAGTGGAACGGAGAATACTTCAAAAATCAATAAAATACAATTTAGCTATACCGTGCATGTGGTTTTTCTTATTCCCGATCATTTCAGTGTGCCCCTCGTAATAACAAGAAAAACAATTTTGAAAATGTTTGTATGTCTGTTTGTTCCGTCTAATCTACGAAACGGTTAGACCGATTTCGAAGGGACTTTCATTGGCAGATAGTTGATGTTATAAGAAGTAACTTAGGATACTTTTTTTTAGAAAAGGAATTAGGGTTCTGCGCAAAAAAATTAAAACCCATAAAATCGTAGTAAATTCCACGCGGCCGAAGTCCCGAGGGACTGCTGGTTGTTCTATAAAAAACGGTAAGCAACTGGGAGCGTCAGTCTACTTTGGCCTAGTAAGAAGTAATCATCTTATATCAAATTGATGTTGATGTTGATTTGAATGTTTGATCTATTTTGGTGTAATCTTGTATTTACTTAAGTATGTTCTATGAATGTTCTATACCATGAAAGTCGTTTCCTTAAATACTTTCGAAGCCGTATTTACACATTCGCGCGGGTGACGAGGCGAGCGGCGAGTCAAGGCACGAGGTTTGTCGCTTGGCTCGTGTTTCGCGTCACCGCTCGTGACGCTCGCGTCGGGAGCTGTTTTTTGGACACGAGTCAAAAGGAAAAGAGAGGCGAGACGAACTAGTTTTTACACATGCGCTTTCTAGTTAATCTCGTAGCAAACGGCCTATCAAGCAACATAAACAAAATGGACTGGAGCAACAATAAATTTATGTTTTTCGAGCTTCATCAAAATCACCAGCCAGCCATTTGAAATTCAAAGCATGCTCATCATAAGAATAAGCAGAAAGTATACAATGCTTGAAGTACATTAAATCGTTCACTGGTACTCCCATTACATCAGAAGTAATGAGAGTACCAGTAAACGATCTAAAATTGAAGAAAAAATTTGTGATGGCTACTTGTCTTACGACATCCATTTCGTCAAGCTGAAGCAGAAATGAATAGACGAGAATGTGTAAACGGTCACTCGTGCAGTAGGCTTCTAGAACTGTAAATGGCAATCCATTACAGCCTATAAAAGTCCACTGCTGAACATAGGACTTGCCCATAGATTGCCTCAAAGGAAGGGTTATGGCATAATTGCCACGCTTGGCAGGCTAGTGGGCAACCACAGTTTTTTTATTATTGTAAGTTGTAATCAGGAAGATGCTGCTGCCCATCTTCTGTTTTTTTTTTTTAGTTCTCTCTGTCGCCTTCTTTTTGTCGACACCCAAGGGGCGATATGGAGTAGTGGATAGTCTTACACCGCTTGTAGGCTGCAAGCAAAGCCTGATTCTATCAGTTATTTCAAAAATGCTACAAGGGATCAGGAATTTTAGGTAATGGTCTAGTTATTGCCTACATGTACAACCCATTGCTTGTCTTCGCTCATATAAGATAAGGCTAGTAAATATCCACCATACATCCCAATGCGTGTGGCGGACTTTACATGTCTTCGAATTTTTTTTTCTAAAATACTGGTCGCCTCACAATGTATCCCTTCACCAGCGAGGACATAGTAAATCGGTACTTAAAATTGTAATTAACAATTTCATTGGTGCCGGCAGGTCCAAATCCTGGTTGCGTAAAGTGAAATTTACAACAAGCACTCAGTCCCTGAGCTATTAATATATGATTAGAAAAGTTTGTCTTTGTCTTTTTAAGCATATTGCACACACAAAGAGTGAGATTAGACATAGTTAAAGTATGTATGATGAGAGAGTGCAAAATTATGTATAAAAATGTGTTACAAATACATTAAAATTTTATTTTTTATTCAAATTTCAAAAAATTCAAAGGTTGTCTGGAAGAAATCTCTTTAGAGTGATAAGACCACCATTTTACTTTAGATTTAACTCTTTAACTCTACTCGTTATTCCGAATTTTGGTGTAAAATAAAGAATAAATACAAAAAAAATAAAAACGAAATAAGATTAGGAACCATGAAGCAAATACAATAAGGTGTTGTAATTAGATTTCACTATGTAACAACGCGTGACAATTTGCGGGGTGAGGGGGATGTTAAGCCCCGCCCACTTTACACTATCTACATCTACCGATAAATAGCAAAACTACTTGAATCGTTCCATATCGATGTTGCAATGTAGTTTAGCTACCTTGACGAGAGATTGCAGCCCGTTCACAAAATGATTATAAACTATAAAAATAATATTTTGGCAATTACAATTTCTTTAT